CAGAGGCAACATCACTGGGCATGGGTTTGTATTCAGAGATCTGCAGGGGAGTTCCTGAGAAAACACAAGATTGTCTCTCAGGAAAAACAGTCAGAGCTCAAAATATCTGCTGAGCCCAGGGGGCCCGTTGCTGGAGGACTCCTGCTGTAGAGGTGTCAGACAGCCACTGAGTCTGGAGGGCCTGAGTGTGGAGCTCGGTGAGAAAGGAGAAATTGATGGTGCCCATTTCCCAGGCTGAAGGTGAAGGACACCTAACAGTTAGGTAAGTCAGAGGGAATCTTACACTGAAATGGGAATATTCTGCATGTTCAAAGTTATAAAGCAGCCCAAGATTTCACATGCACTGGCCAGGGGGAAAAAGCATCTGAGCATTGAGTTTAAATGGCATTGGAAAGAATATAAAGTTGTCTTCTGTTTGTCTTCTGTTAGGTCCAGCTAACAAGATGCAGTTCAGTGAAGACATCTGTATTCTTGCTGTAAAGCACAGGGCTTAGTGCAGACCAAGAAGTGATTCATAAGGATTAAAAGGTGTGAATCCAGGTTCTTCTTAGAATTTGGCAGTCATTGTACTTCATTTTCTGCCACATCATTATTTTACAGTTAGTACGTAGACCTGGAAGTGGAGAGCAAGGCATCTATGTTCTAGGGTTTGTGGCAGGCTCTCCTACCAGTTGAGCAGCTCTCTCCCAACAAAGCCTATGGATTCTCTCTCCTTGTGGTGTGTGCATGCAGAGCCATGGGCTGGTTGAAGCTGCAAATGGATGAGCAGCCAACAAATGGATCAACTTATTAATATTTATTGGGCATCTGCCATGTGTCAGGCTCAGGGACCAGGCAGCCGGGGATTCAAAATAAGATAAATGTATGTCCTTGTGCTCTTTAAATAGTTTTCCACCTCCACTGGGATTTTTATTGGCATTGGAATCTCCACAATTCATTTTTATAGAGTCTTTTATGTGAAGTGTCTCAAACAAGGCAGAGAGAAACACAGAGAGGCCCCTACAGCTTCTTCCAAGCTCATGGTCCTCATCAACTCACACTTTATAGGGCTAGGCATGAAGCATACCATTCCTAAATGAACCAGACTGCAAAGCACAGGCCTGTAGCAAGGGGTCCTGTGAAGGGTAATGTCACTGAAGTGACTGTTTTTTTCTGTCAGTATTGTTCTTAGTTATCTTCTCTTCCTGAGAAGACTGAGTCAGAAAACTCTGAACTTGAGCATGGACCTTGGGGTCTCTCCTGAGGTCATGGGTTGCAGCTATCCACTGGGGTACTCCTGACTGTATCTGGAGACCCATGGCTTGGATGAGGGGATGTTTTGGCAGTACATTCTTGCACTTGTAGGGAGTAGATGGGCCCTACCTCAGCAGAGAGTAGACATTGGCGTGGCCCTCAGGGTCCATCTCAGAGGGCATCTGGGTACCCACATCTGGGCCAAAGACTACAGACAAAAATTCCAGAATTAGCATTGCCTCCCTGTAGTGTTAACTTCTGCTCCTCCAGTTGAGCCTTCCCAGTGTGATGATTTGAATGTTTGTCCCCTGCTACACTCATGTATCAATATTAAAAGAAATTTGGTTGCTGCTGTGGCAGTGTTAGGAGGTGGGACCGCTGGGAGGTGTTAGGGCCATGAGGATTCTGTCCTTCTGGATGAGATTAATGCGATTAGAAGAGGGCAAGTTTGGCTTCCTTTTTCCTGTTTGCCCTGTACCTTCTGCCACATGAGGACATGATGTTCCTCTTCTCTGGAGGATGCAGCAAGAAGACTCACCAGGTACTGGCACCTGATCTTGGACTTCCCATCCTCCAGAACTGTGAGAAAATGTTTAGTTCTTTACAAATTATTCAGTCTCAAGAGTTTTGTTATAGTAGCACAAAATGAATTAAGACACCCAGGGACTAGCAGTGAGCCTTGGACCACGCAGGAAATGAGGAGGTGGTGGCGGTGGCGGGGTGTGGAGCAGCAGGCAGGGGGCAACCAAGAGACTTCCCAGTCCCACTGGAAAGTGGACCTGAGGGGATAGACTAAAAGAGGCAGAACTGAGGCCTAAGCTGGAGGACCAGAGAGTGAAACCAGGCCTTGACTGGGGAGCAAGGAGGGCCTGAGACTGCAGTGGGAAGCCCTGTGTGGCTGAATCCTAGGACCATGAGGAGAGGCAACATTAGTAACTAGGTCTCTGGCCTCTGCTTTTGAAATCACTGTGTGGTGCATGAACACATCCAGCCTGATATGTGAAGTGCATCCAGCTTTACCCCTAAAGTACGGAGACAGCAGTGGGTCTGTTGCTTAGAGAGGAGCTCCCAGTAACTCTGGGAGAGTCATAGACCTAGAAAAGAATATGGCCCAAACCTCCTGAGCAAAAAAGGCAGTGTTCACTGCCAGGCATGGTGCTGAATGCTTCTGTTCTTTGTCTCATAAACACTTCCAACTGTGTCCCCGTTTTTAAAAAAGGAAAACTGAGACAGAAGTTGGGAAGTAACCTGCCAAAGGTCACCAACTATTCAGTAGGAAAGCAAGGACTTAAGGCCAGGCTTGCAAGACTCCTAGTGCTACTAGTAATTGGTAAGACTCAAGGGTTTAAAGAGGCCTCCAGAGAAGGGTAGTAAATGGTGATGAGCCTTAAACTTTATAATTCTTTGAGTTTTTCACAGGTAAAAGAACAGAAAGCCAAGAAGAGCCTTCTGGTCAGTGGCCTCTGGGAATATTGTATGGTCAATCTGGAAGTCTGGGGTAGATGGAATGAGACCTCAGGGTCCACTATTACCAATTGTTCATTCAGTTTCCATGCAAGGATTTCCTGGTGATGTGAGTGGGAGCTCTTCCCTCTGTGTGTCTTGGAGCAGCCATGCTGCTCATGTTTGTGAAATGATGACCAGCCCAGAATCCTGATGTTAGGCACTATGAAGAAACATTACATATGGGGTCTGTCTTTTAGGGGGAATCTTACCCTGGTGATATAGTTTGGATATTTGCCCCATCTAAATCTAATGTTGGGTCGGGCATGGTGGCTCACAGCTGTAATCCCAGCACTTTGGGGAGGCTGAGGCAGGTGGATCGCCTGAGTGCAGGAGTTTGAGACCAGACTGGCCAACATAGTGAAACCCCATCTCTACTAAAAATACAAAAATTAGCTGGACATGGCAGCATGTGCCTGTAGTTCCAGCTATTGGGGATGCTGAAGCAGAAGAATTGCTTGAACCCAGGAGGCGGAGGTTGCAGTGAGCTGAGATCACACCACTGCCCTCAAGCCTGGGTGACGGAGTGAGCCTCCATCTTAAAATAAATAAATAAATAAATAATAAAATCTAATGTTGAAATTTGATCTCCAATATTGGAGGTGGGGCCTGGTGGAAAGTGTTTGGGTAATGGGGGAAGATCCTTTATGAATGATTTGGTGCTAGTCTTGTGGGAGTGAGTGAGTTCTCACTCTTAGTTCCCATGAGAACTGGTTGTGGAAAAGAACCTGGCACCTTCCACTTCTCTCTTCCTCTCTCTTGCACACATTGGCTCTCCTTTGTCTTCTGCCATGAGTGGAAGCTTCCTGAGGCCTTCACCAAAAGCAGATGGTGGTGCCAAGTTTTTTTGTATAGCCTGCAGAACTGTGAAAAAAACAAATCTCTTTTCTTTATAAATTACCTAGCCTCACTATTCCTTTATAGCAACACAAACAAAGACATGTGGCAATGGCATGGCTTGCTTGCAGGGTATCTTGGCTGCTGCAGAAAGAAAAAGTCTCTGAAGAGACTCACTGTCAGAGACTCATGGAGCAGAAAGCTAGCCTCAGAGCCTGGACAGAGGGTGGCTGTCGCTGCTTAACTGCAGTTCACCTCAAGCATATGGCTCTCTGCAAGATCAGCACTGAAGGCTGGGGGATAGGTGAGGGAGATCTTCTCACATCTTCAGGGGAACTAGATTCACCAAAGTGGCTCTGGTCAGAACCAATGAATAGAGGTGTGTTCATCAATATAAATGAGTTCGTGTCCTTTGTAGGGACATGGATGAATCTGGAAACCATCATTTTCAGCAAACTGACAGAAGAACAGAAAATCAAACACCACGTGTTCTCACTCATAGGCTGGTGTTGAACAATGAGAACACATGGACACAGGGAGGGGAGCATCACACACTGGGGTCTGTTGAGGGGGGCAAGGGAGGGACAGCGTGGTGGGGTGAGGGGAGGTCTGAGGGGGAGGTCCGGGAGGGATAACAGGGAGAAATGCCAGATGTAGATGACGGGGTGGGGGGAAGGAGGCAACCACATTGCCACGTGTGTACCTATGCAAGAATCCTGTATGATCTGCACATGTACTCCAGAATCTAAAATACAAAAAAAAAAAAAAAAAAAGATCCTGTCTGCCTGTTTTCAAGCAATGTCTACAGTTGAATAGCCTCTACATTGACCACCCTTGCTGAAGTTGTCTTAATTGACCTAGTAGCCAACTGACCTCATATTGTGGCACAGGCTCTGACTCCTTTTGCAATAGCCTATCTGCCCTGCTCCGATACTACAAACAGAACCCCCCACTCCACCCCCCGCCCACCCCAGCACGCTGGGGCCTCAGTAGGGCCTTAGAGGGCAGGCGTGGGTCAGTCGAGCACTCCTGGAGAACACAGTCCTTAGTGGTTCAGGATATGAGCATGGTTCAGAGCGCTGTTGGCATTAACAGCCTGGTCTTGGAGAGGGGCACACGCACAGGGTGGTGCACCGCCTGCAGGGAATTACAGCGGCGTCTGCGATGGGCTCTCAGTGCCCTGGAGGACCGGTAGAGGGAGGCACCGTCAGCCGGGGCCTGGCCGACAGAGGGCAGCCCAGGGCGAGGCTCCAGTGCGCAGGCTCGCGGGCGCAGGTGGGATTGGACCGCGACGAAGGCCGGTTGGCTCCGCGTGGGCCCAACTGGCGAGGTTGCTGGGGTTGCGGCCGGGCAGTTGGGGAGACCCGCAGGCCCAGGTGAGGAGAGGTGGCTGGGGGCCAGGTGGGCAGAGGGCGTAGGGGAGGCCGGGTGTGAAGAAGAAGATGCCGTTGGTGCACCGGGGGCCCAAGGCGTGGGTTGTGGCGTTGGCTCGGGAGGCTGCCCGGGAGAGCCTGGGCTATGAGGCAGTGCCGCTGCAACGCGAGGGCAGGACCCAGCCCTGGCCGTGTAATGCCAGCTGCACTGTGATGCGTGTCGGGGCACCTGTGCGTGACAGGACTGGGACAGGAACCCTGTGGCTCCGTGCCAGGGGAAGGCCGCCAGCTCCCTGAGGAGCAGGGATGTGGTATGATTGATAAGAAGCCATCATCAGGTGCTAAGATGGCCAAGAACTTCCCAATGACCCAAGGGCCGGTGGAGGTTGAGAGACCTAGAAAGAAAGAACATGAATTCATCAGTCCATTCAGCAGCTATTTTGAACGCCTCCTGTGTCCCAGACACTATTCAAGAAGCTCGGAATATCAATGAACATGATAGGCAAGGCCCTCATATTCCAGCCTTGACTCAAGGAAAACTGTAGGGTGTGGTAAGTTTCATTTTTGGAAATCATGGAATCAGTACTTATGTTTTGAATGTGTTAGGTTTGAGATGCCGAGTAGGTTTTTCCAACAGAAGACTTACAAAGAGCACAGCTGGGAAGAATTTTGCAGCGGACTCTGGCGACTTACCACCTACAGGTGCCATGAACATTTAGCACATTTGATTTTTCACATTACCTATTCATCCTTCTCTCCATTTATCAATTAATCAGTCAACTGGTAGATTTTTTTTTTAATGTGAAATATACACACATAAATCATCTAGTAGATATTTGGGTTGAGATATCAAATATGCTTTTTAGAAATGTAAATCTGAAGTCCTGGAGGATGTCGGACTAGAGTTGACCTTTGGAATCAACATCATATACTGTACATAGTATTTAAAATAGGAGATTGGTGAAGACATCTAGTTCAATAGTGTACACAAAGAAGAGAAGGGGAAGCCAAAAAAGGGAGGGAGGCAGTGTCAACCATGTTGAATGTTACTGTGTAAGATGACTTTGGCAATTAGAAGGATTTTAGTCATTTTGACAAGAACAACCTTAATGGAGAAGAGGGGCCTTAAGATTGGGTGGAGTTTTTTTTTTTTTTTCAAGATAGAAGAAAGCAGAATGTTTATATGCCAATGTGATTAAACTCATAAAAAGGAAAAACTGCTGCAGATGAAAGAGGGGAACATTGTAGAGGGTAGTTGTTGAATACCTGGGAAAGGAGGAGACCCTAAGCAGGTGGGTAGTTGGTTTTGAAATGAGCAGGGACACTTACTCTGTTGTAACCAGAGGGGAAGCTGAGATAACAGGTGCAGATACTGTTGGGGGTAGCATGAGAGTCTATCCGTATAAGCAGTCATCAGCTGAGAGGGAGGGCAGCAGGGGAGAGGAAAGTTGTGGGAACTTGGAGAACAGATGTGTGACAGAGTCCTAGAGAGGGTGAAAGTGGACTTGCACCCAATCCAATAGAGCCGGATTCCCAGGCAGTGCTGAGCACCCATTTGAGATGTGTAGTCCTGTATCTAAAGTGGTGCAAACCAGTGTGGTGATGTCGTGTTCAACTTTGGAAATGTCGAGAGGATTAAATGAAGTAATGCATGAAAAACATTTAATAGAGTGTCAGGCATCTGATGAATGTTAACAGTTTTTATTTGAGCCCTCATTTTGTTTTTCTTTTCTGTTTATACACATGTGACTGGGGAGGGCTGATAATTACCACCTGATAGGCTGTTCTGTGGCATGTTCTCCAATCACAGAGAACTACAGTTTGCAGCTACTCAGAAGTCTGGTTCTTGTTGTGGTTACATGTACACAGCCTGATAATTGAGACTGTTTGCCTTTTAGAGCCATTGTCCTGGACTGGTTGGGCTGGGATTTGTCACAGTGACTGTCCTTAAGTTTTTCTGAAAATCTCTTAGGACTGCATTTCATATTGGATCTGATGTATTAGTAATCTACAGAATCTGCAAATCTAAGATCGGCAGGAAAATTTTCTGTTTCATAGATTTTCATTTCTCCCTGACCATGTGAGCTGTATTAAAATACAAATGATAGTAATAATGGCTGACATTGACTTGAAATACCTTAGCTTGAGCTTGGCTATAATGAATACATTTTAAACAATCCTGCCAACTCCATTTTGCCCACCCTGAGCTATGTTTGCCCACCCTGAGTTATATAGGGCATTCTGTTCTGAAAGCTTGTGGTCTGAGACACCTGGCATCTTTGTAACCAATTTTCTGAGAAACAGGGCCCACCAGCCCTGTACATACTGTATCTGCAACTGTGTAACTGCTACCCCACACTGCTACCCCACATCCTGAGTAAAAAAATAATTTTAAATAGAACTTTTTGTTAGGCCCCCCCTTCTCCCTAAGTTCCTCCTTCTGCTTCTGTAATAATCTGCTTACCACCCCCGACCCTAAACTGGTATAAAAATGTAGACCACCCTTTGTTCTTGGCTAAGAGGTTTGAGCTTTAGCTGACTCTCGGATGCCAGCATAAAGATGGACTCTCAACAAACTCAGTGCGTGGTGCTTCTGTTTAAACTCGCTCGAGTATAACAGACTGAGCTCTTAAAAGTGACGAGCGCTTATCTAAGCAAATCTCATGCATAATCTTGTTTAATCGCCACTTCAGCTCTACAAGGCAGGTACCATTATTATCCTGATTTTTCAGATGCAAAAGTAGGCTCCAAGAGGTTAAGTAACTTGCCCAAGTTACACATACCCTGACCTCCTGTTTCTACTGCAGACATTAACCTTTTTTTTTTTTTTTTAATTGCTTGGTCTTCACTCATCTGCATTGCAGTGGAGTACTTGAAGTTGATGGACTCCAAAGCCAGATTATCTGGTTTCAGAAAACTGCCACTTATTAGCTATGAGACTTTGAATAAATTATCTAACTTCTGTGTGCCTTTGTTTCTTTTTGACAAAATGGAAATAATAGTAGTACCTGCCTGATAGGGCTATTATCATTGCAATTGAGAATCACGTGAGTTAATATATTTACTATGTCTAACATAGTGCCTGGTTGTTTAGATGCTACTATTATTGTCTGCCTGGTAGTACCACCAAGGTGTTATGTATACTGATTGGTTTGATCTATCAAAATAATTTGGCAGGGTGCGTTGGCTCACGCCTGTAATCCCAGCAGTTTGGGAGGCCAAGGTGGGTGGGTCACAAGGACAGGAGTTCAAGACTAGCCTGGCAAACATAGTGAAACCCCGTCTCTGTTAAAAATACAAAAATATTAGCTGGGTGTGGTGTGGTGGTGGGTGCCTGTAATCCAAGCTACTTGGGAAGCCGAGGCAAGAGAATCACTTGAACCTGGGAGGTGGAGGTTGAGTGAGTGGAGATGGTGCCACCATACTCCAGCCTGTGCAACAGTATGAGACTCCGTTTCAAAAAAAAGAAAAATTCTCCAAGTGTCCTGTTATTGCGTCTAAGTAGAGTTTTAAAATTGCAGTGCACTATATTACTTCCACCTCAAGGATCACTCTTGTTTCCTCTGAGTTCATCTCTCTGAGGGAAACAAATAGATAATAGTTTGTTTCTAGGTGCAGAAAACAACTCAGATTTCATGTAGACTCACTTGATCAATGGAGTTCATTTCATTAATCCTGACATTACTTACTACTTAGCGAAGGGGAATAAGGCTTAGGGAGTAATGTGATTCCATGTTGCTTTTCCCAGATGAGCAGCCCATTTAGAGGAATTGGGTTAGAAAGACCAATGGACTACGTAGCCACTATTAGGCATAGCATATGGTAAGTGATGTGGATCAGTGGGCTGCACATAAAAGTGTTCTGAAAAGATCTGTAATGTCTTTGGAGTTACCGTGATGTGTTGTGTCAGATACTGATTAAAAGTGACTGGTAGGCTTGGCATTTGAGACCAGTGAAAGTTCTAAATGATCTTTGCAGATATATAACATGGAGAGTAAATGTATGATATAAAGTAATGGTTCCCAGTGAGTTTGCATCAGAATCACCAGTGTGCAGCTTTATGAAGATTTGCAGAATGACAGGCTCCACTTCCATAGATTCTGAATCAGTAAGTCTCGATAGGGTTCTGGAATGAATCTGTTTTCATAAGAGCTCCCCAAGTGACTCTGATGTGCAGTTAGCATGGGATATTGTTAGTGCAAATCAGTGCTTTTAAGCCCTGACCATGTTTTGCAATTACCTTTCAATCAGCTTTTTTTTTTTTTTAAGTATTGATGTTCTGGAGCCACCCCAGGGATTCTGATTTAATTTGACCTGGGTTAGGTCTGGACAATGGTGTATTTAAAGAAAAAAAATTCTCAGGTGATTCTAATATGCAGCTAGGTTTGAGAATCACTGCCATAGTCAGCTAGATTTCCCGCCATAGTTTATTTGCTCCTGAAAATTTAAAATAAACCTGGCTTCAGGCAGCACTTTACCACCAGGAAAGTGGAAACATGAGCATTTCTGAACTTCCCCAATGTAAATGTTCAATATGATAATCAGGTAACAATTAAAAATGTGAATTGCTGACAAAATTAGCATTTCTTACACTAAGCTATGAAGATTTGATCAAGTTTCCCCTGAGGATGAGAATTTACATTTCCTGAGAGCTTCATGTAGAATCTCAATATTTCAGCAACTCTGGGAGGTATGTATAATTCCCATTTTGTAGATGAGAATTTTGAGGCTAAGGGAGTTTGAGGTTAAGTAGCTTGCACACTCAGTTGTGTGTATTTCCAAGATCTAGGTTCCATTTTCTCAGTGATTCTCAACTTTGAGTGCACACTGGGGTCACCTGAGGAACTTTAAAATAATAGGTGCTTGGCTGGGTGTGGTGGCTCATGCCTGTAATCCCAGCAGCACTTTGGGAGGCTGAGGTGGGTGGGTCATGAGGTCAAGAGATTGAGACCATCCTGGCCAACATGGTGAAACCCCATCTCTACCGAAAATACAAAAATTAGCTGGGTGTGATGGTGCACGCCCGTAGTCCCAGCTACTTGGGAGACTGAGGCAGGAGAATCAGTGGAATGTGGGAAGCGGTTGCAATGATCTGAGATTACGCCACTGCACTCCAGCCTTGGCAACAGAGCGAGACTGTCTCGATTACCAGTGCTGATGTTCCATTCTCAGACATTCTGATTTTGTTGATCTTGTGTGGCCTGGAATTGGGATTTTGCAAAGCTCTCTAGCTAATTCTAATGTGCAGCCGAAATTGGGAATCTTGTGTTGTACCATACAGCTTCCTAGTGGTCTAAATTAATTTTCTCTTATGCACGTAGATTGCCCCTCTGTAGACTGCTGTGACTGGGTTCCTTGTCTTCGTACATTCACTTATAGATATCTTAGTGTCTTTTCTTTCCACTCCTTCCTGACTTTTAACAAATATGTAAAGATTGCCATACGCTGTTCTTGGTTCCAGAATGACACAGTGATGACAGGACAGACCAACTTGCCAGCCTCATAGTACTTATATGGGGGAAGATAGACAATAAACATGTGAGAAGGTACA